ACTCACCTCAGCCTCCCAAAGACGCGGGATTACAGGCTGAGCCACCAAGCCCGGCTAAAACAAAATAATAATTTTTTACAAGCATATTACTTAATGTATCATTGCATTGTTATTAAATTACCCTTAGTTGGCTGGATTCGGTGACTCATGCCTGTAATTCCAGCACTTTGGGAGACCCAGGTGAGAGAATCACCCAAGCCCAGGGGTTCAAGACCAGCCTGGGCAGCTTGGTAAGATCTTGTCTCTACAGTAAGTCAAAAGAATTAGCTGGGCATGGTGGCGCATGCCTGTGGTTCCATCTACTTGGAAAGCTGAGGCAGAAGGATCACCTGAGCACAGCAGGTCCAGGCTGCGGTGGCTGTGAGCGTGCCACTGCACTCCATCCTGGGTAACAGAGCGAGACTCTGACTCAAAAAATAAATTAAAATAAAATAAATTACCCTTAGTTGATTTTTAACAGAGCATGATTGTGCTGCTTTGAAGCCTGACCTAGAAAAGAAATTCACATTTTTACTGTCTATTCATAAATACCATGAATATCATATAATACAATTTGAACAAATTCTGGTTACTGCCCCACGAAATAATATGGAAAATGTGGACAAATATGTGATGAGATCATCAAACAAAATGCTTGGCTAATCTGTGACTCTGTGTGTGTGTGTGTGTGTGTGTGTGTGTGTGTGTGTGTGTGTGTGTGTGTCTGTCTGTCTGTCTGTCTTTGTCTGTGCCTGGTCTCACTATGTCGCCCTGGGCTTAGGCATTCCTTCCACCTCAACCTCCCAAGTAGATGGTACTACAGGTGTGGACCACCATGCCCCGCTAATTAGTTCTCACTATGTTGCCTAGGATGGTCTCCAATTCATGGGCTCAAGCAGTCCTTCTGCCTCAGCCTCACAAAGTGCTGAGATTACAGGCATGCCCTGGCTAGGACCAGAAGTAATTTCTTGGATATTTATTATTGAAATTTAATTCCTATCGGTAAGGAAGTACAGTAACACACATTGAGGATATACTTTATTTGAAAGTATAACTCAGTTTGCAGGACTAAAAGAGCACTACTGAAGTCTGGGATGTTCTTCTCTGTCATGACTTTTTGTGTAATTTTTATTAAATCTATTTGCAAAGTTTTAATTGTATGCTGTGAAAATTCCGACTGGTCAGAATTCACAAATAATAATTTTCTCAGGTTCTTTGCTTTACCTAGGAATTATCCCCCAAATCTTTGTTTCACTGTTATTTGAGAATCTTTTAAAATGTACATGATGCTGTCCTATCTTATAAAATGTAGTATAATGAACACACTTTACGTTTTCTCTGACTCATGATCTTAGTGCTTACATGTAAACAACATCAGCTTGGTTAACGTGCCAGTCAAATAAAAGGGTGTGCATAAGGTCCTTTCGGTTGTACTGATTTTGCTTTCGTTTCACTTTTTAAAAACATGGCTGCGTAATAGATCATATATATTTCTGGAAATAAAGAATTGTAAGAAATTGAGTTTAATCTATTCTGGGCTCAGAACATCATTTTGATATTTTGATTCCGTTATTAATAACGTACCTTAAAGGAGGTTTTTTTTTTCCCCCTTCAGTTTACCTCTTTTAACAGAACATCACAAGGAATTCTAGATAATTAAGGCTTTACAAGTCCTACTGGCAGTAATTTCTACCCAACCTTCCTTTAAGTCCTTAAATTGGCTCCATACTCCCTACACTGCCTTTTGTTTAATTCAGCAGTGGGCAGTTGTCTGCAAGGCAGAATTCTTTAATCAGACTTCTCAGTGCATTCAGAGAGGAGTCTTTGTTTGGTTTGTTTACATTAGAAAAATAAAGTGTTTTTTAAAATTTGAGTTTATAAGATCTGCAAAATCAGCACAAAACACAGTGAAAGTTACATAATATAAAAATATTATATTGAGGTTTTACTGAGTTACTGCTTTTAATTTCATTAGTCTTCATGCATCCTGACTGAGTAATAAGGAAGACAGTATCATTACTAAGGTTCACAAGGTTTAATTCCTCAAGGTCAAATGGCAAGTCTCCTAATTCCTGATACAGTCCGTGTGTTTTCCGTTTGATAAAATACTGTATTCTTTTTCTGTCAATTATTAAGGAACTGGTGGTGATGGTATCAAATATTAAGCATGTATTTTGTTTACTAATTTTTGTTTGTCTTTCATTAGTGCTTCTTATAGTGGTATCTGTCTGTACAGCTACTGGTGCCTGGAACTGGTTAATAGATCCTGAGACACAAAAGGTAGAAGTTTTGTTTTTAAATATTTTGCAGACTAAAGGAGATAATGGATATTGTGGTGCTTTATTAATTATAAAGTATTAGTCAAATGCTACCTGTTACTATTAGTAGTGATATCATTATATATATTTACAGGGAAAGACCTGAGAAAGACTGCTCCACTTACATTCATTTTTGAATTTTTGTCCTTTTTACATAGTTTTGTGTATATCTCATTTTTTATTTATTTCAGTATGAACATTCTCTTTGTTCTCTTTTGTTCATTTAGTGTTATCAGTGCCAGCTTTTAAAAAATTATAAAATAACATTTTCTCTTATGGGATAACTCTGTTAATACCACTCCCTCATCCCATAAAGTATTTGAGATGACCTTACAGGAAACAAATATGACAAAAGTATAGGCCGCGTGCAGTGGCTCACTCCTAAATCTGAGTACTTTGGGAGGCGGAGGCAAGAGAGTTTGAGACCTGAGCCCAGGGGTTCGAGACCAGCCTGGGCAATGTGATGAGACTTCATCTGTACAATAAATTTTTTAAAATTAGCTGTGCGTGGTGGCACAAACCTGTAGTTTCAGCTACTTAGAAGGCTGAGCCAGAAGGATCGCCTGAGCCCAGCAAGTCGAGGCTGTAGCAGCTGTGAGCATGCCACTGCACTCCGACCTGGGCGACAGAGTGAGACTCCAACTCAAAAAAAAAAAAAAAAAAAAGTGATAGAAAGTCAGGACTAGATAAAAACAGATTAGATGACCAGGCACAGTGGCTCAGCCTGTAATCCCAGCACTTTGGGAGGCTGAGACAAGAGAACTGCTTGAGCCCGAGGATTTGAGACCAGCCTGGACATCTCTAAAATAAATCACAAAAACTAGCCAGGCATGGTGGCACACATCTGTAGTTCCAGCTACTTGGAAGGCTGAGGCGGAAGGATCGCCTAAGCCCAGCAGGTCGAGGCTGTGGTGGCTGTGAGTGTGCCACTGCACTCCAGCCTGGACAACAAGAGTGAGATTCCAACTCAAAACAAAACAAACAAACAAACAAAACAGACTAGGAGGTCAAGATCAGGAAGGAAACCAAGTCACTGGTACATAGGCCATGTGTCCACCATGATTGCTGGAATTGAATTACGAATTAGTCTCTGAGTTACCTAATCACTGTAGTCATGATTAAGTCTATGGTTTTCATTGTCTGTCAGGAGAACACTCTATCAGTTCCTTGAGCTAGCAAAGTTTTTCTTTCCCAGCAGTTATCTTTTAAAAAAAATTTCCTGCCTGCAGTTTAATATAAGAACCATAAAGAGATTTCCCTTTGGGCACTGTGCAAGCATCTTCCTATACCAATACAATTACAGATTTCATAATGTTATTTCTTGAAGCATCCTTTGATGAAAGCTGATAGCATGTTTCTCAAATTTCTACCTCTTTCTACTAACTTGTGCTTTAATTTCAAACCCAGACTTTTTTATTAAAGAAGCAGTGATCTGCAGTTTTTCAGTGAAAATTTTTTCCCCTAGTGCAGTGCAGTTTTATTTAGGTAGTAGTGATGTAATTTTAACAACTCTTTAAAAAATCTTCTCACCCTTCTTAAACTAATTAATAGACTACTTTCAGTAGCTTTATTTATATAATCTTTTAGGTTATACAGAAGAAAAAACTAAAGGGAAGGCTTTTGTCATGAGTCTAAATGGTGGTTCAGAGAGCCAGAGGTTTATTTAGTATATAGTCTCCTGACTTTATCCACTGAGGTGAGATGTAAAGGGAAAGGAAGCAAGGGAGGCTGGTGATGGGATTTTATGTTAATGGAGGATTTTCATGGCAGACAGGAAACTCTCCTGTGTGTTCACTTATAAAATCTGATCTTAAGGCTGCACTTGGTACTCATCTTTAGGGGAAGAGTGGAAGGAGGCTGGTAAGAAGATTGAAAAAGATCTGCCTTGGGAAATGAGTCTGACTTCTAATTTGGAAAAATATAAGCTGATTTCAGCTAGTTGAGATCTTAATAAAACACAGAATTAAATGTAATTTGAAATAGGCCCAAAACTATGTAGTTAATACAATTTTCTAAATTAGGTGAGAATATAACTATTAGCCCAAGGGTTGACTTTTCATATGTCAGTATTTAATAACCCCACACCTGAAAAGAGGTGTAACCAGCAATTGTGTCTGTAGTAGGCATTGCCAACTCAGAAGTCAGTGGCTTCCAGAATATTGCAAGCTAGAGAGTGCATGAGTGCCTGATCTGGGGAGAACTGTTGGGATGCAACTGATTGCTGCCATGGAGGAAAGAGGGCTGATATTGACTGGGCTTGTTAAAACGATGACATAGAGCACCACCATGTATGCTGACATTGTGCTGGCCACATAGAACAGCTGGCTTGTGAGAGTTACACTCCTTAGAAGCTTTAGGAAGACACCCTTCAGGGGTATTAGCCTTTTTTGGGGATATCATCTTTCTGGGAGCTTCTTCCCTTCTGCCTCTAATTTCTTCATCTGACAAACTTTTACTTATTCAGTACCATGCCGGATCATCTGCTTGGTGCTTTTCTCTTTCTTAAAACACATACACATGTTTAGTTCTCTTTCTTAAAACTTGAGCATCTTGGGGTGAGTGTGGAGTGGGATGTCTCAGCTTGATTGTGTTGCTCCCAACTAGTTACTCATCCATTTGTTTTTTTTGGTTTTTTTTTTCAGATGCTCTAAATCATTATTGTATAACCTTTTGGCTTCCCTGGGCCACACTGAGTAAAGAGTTGTTGTCTTGGGTTGCACATAAATTATATAATATAGTTAGTATGTGTGTGTGTATATATATACACACACATGCTTGGCGTCACAAAGAAAATAACCAAAAAGTTTACATTTCTGTTCCGGTGCCCATTCTTATTTCAGTCATGGATCTTGAATTCTCATCCCTTTGTATATTCCTAGAATTGTGTATTATCATTTTTTACTGTCATCTGGTTATGCCCAGACCTGAAAATTAGCCCCTGCTTTCTCTTTATGTCTAATTCTTTTTTTTTTGAGTTGGAGTCTCACTTGTCACCCAGGCTGGAGTGCAGCAGAACACTCACAGCCACCCCAGCATCAACCTGCTGGGCTCCTGTGATCCTTCTGCCTCAGCCTTCAAGTAGCTGGAACTACAAGCATGTGCTACCACGCCCAGCTAATTTTTGATTTATTGTAGAGATGAGGTCTCACCATGTTGCCTAGGTTGGCCTCGAACCCGTGGGCTAAGGCAATCCTTGCCTTAGCCTCTCAAGGTGCTGGGATTACAAGCTTGAGCCACCACTAGCCATATCTAGTTCTTAATGGTTAGCTACTCATCGTCTTTCCCTGCTTGGATATCCTGTGGCCATCTAAGTCTCAGTAACTTCAAAAGCAAACTCATTTTTTCTTCTGCAGGGAGGAAGGGTGCTGGAGCTGAGTTTTTTTTTTTGGGGGGGGGGTTTAATGGGTATTGAACATTTTATTTAAAAATTTTAAAGTAAAAGAATGGTACACAAATACAGATTACATTACAGTGATCAAGACAGTATTCTACATGACAAAAAGTAAGACAAATTTATAAACTAAGTGTACTGGTACTGTACAAGCATAATATCTCATATCCAATCTGGGTTGCATATAGGAGCTCAGTGTTGTAAGGATATGTAGGAGTTAGCAAGGTGGAGAGGAAATGTGAACCAGCTAGCACATGTGGGGCAGTGGGGCAGGATATGCAAATTAGACTAGGACTAGATTGCAAATGACTGGGGCAGGAGGATCATTTGAGACCAGGAGTTTGAGACAGGCCTGGGCAACAGAGTGAAACCCTCTCTCTAAAAAAATAAAAGTACCCACGCCTTTGGGAGACTGAGGTGAGTGGATTGCCTGAGCCCACGGGTTCGAGACCCGCCTGGGCAACTTGGCAAGACCTCATCTCTACAATAAATCAAAAATTAGCTGGGTGTGGTAGCGCGCACCTGTCGTTCCAGCTACTTGGAAGACTGAGGCGGAAGGATCGCCGGAGCCCAGCAGGTTGAGGCTGCGGTGGCCGGGAGCAGCCACTGCACTCCAGTCTGGATGACAGAGTGAGACTCCCACTCAAAAATAAAAAAATTTTAAAAAATAAAAGTAGATCATGTCCCAGTGTATTATAAGGGTGTCTCACAGTCTTGATTAGAAGCTTCTGTTTTGCTCTGCTTACTGTATTTATTTTATTCCATTTTATTTCTATATCCTCTCTTAAGAAAGTGTTTTTACCAGAGAAGATATTTAGTCACATTTCACTTGTTATTGAGACCAGCGGTCTCATTTTCATTCATTCAACATAGAATTCAGTAAATATTTTTGATATGGTTGTGTTTTGGACCACAGAACTGAATTTTTAACGGTTCAGGTATTTGAAGTGAATGGAGGGAATATTGTTATGTTGTCTTGCTATATAGAAGATATAAAGCATACACTTTATTTTTATTTTGACAGCATAGCAATACAGAGAACTAAGATTAATGGAAGTTTTTAAATCCTCATATTTAGATAATAAAAATATTACATATATTTATGTCCAAATGGGACAGTAGGAATCAGTTGTTCAGAGATATTTGATGTTTTTCTATTTCACACTTTCTTTCCAGGTGTCCTTCTTCACATCGTTGTGGAATCACCCTTTCTTCACCATTAGCTGCATCACTCTCATAGGCTTATTCTTTGCTGGAATACACAAGAGAGTTGTTGCACCATCAATGTATCCTTTCCACGGATTGAGTTTTAGTCTCTGAACTAAAGTACCTTCTCAATGATCTAGGTGATTTTTAAAAACTTACTCTTGAGACATTTTCCTTTGACCATATTTATTCAGTATAGCTGCTCGATGTCGAACAGTATTAGCAGAGTACAATATGTCTTGTGATGATGTAAGTATTTTTTTCTAGGAAAATCATATCTGCATGAAAGGACTAAAATTTTTGGCTTTCGAAAAACAGACATTTTGTTAACAGTAAATTGTCTTTGTGGAATTAATAGTGGAAATCGATTCTAAGACAATGTTTTTACATTTTAACATCTCTGCCATTGAGATGCATCTGATCGGTGTATTCTAACAGATTAGCAGAGTTGACTATTTATTTTTAAGTCAGAGTCTCTGTCGCCCAGGCTAGAGTGCAGTAGCACGATCATGGCTACTGCAACCTCTACCAGCTGGGCTCGGGCGATCCTTCCACCTCAGCTTTCCAAGTAACTGGGACTACAGGCATGTACCACCACGCCCAGCTAATTTTTTTATTTTATTGTAGAGATGAAGTATCACCATATTGCTCAGGCTGGTCTCAAATTCCTGGGTTTAGTCATCTCACCTCGGCCTCCCAAAGTGCTGAAATTACAGGCATGAGCCACCATGCCTGACTTTTTTAAAAGCATTTTTAAAATTGTATTTATTATTGTTTTCTTTTTGTAGAGACAGGGTCTATATTGCCCAGGCTAGTTTTAAATTCCTGGCCTCAAGCAATCCTCCAGCCTCAACCTCCCAAAGTACTGGGATTGCAGGCGTGAGCAACTGCACCCAGCTGACAGTTTAATCTTTCTTAATGACATAAAATCTTGATGCATCTTATAATTAAAGCAGTCTTAGATTCAGTGAAATACAGTGGTCATTATTGGCCAAAAATGGCTCAGTGGATGTTGGTTTTATAAACTGTTATTTGTCAAATGACATTCTGTGTGTGTTATTTGTAAATAGTGGCATAGATTACTTTGTGGATGACAAACATATGAACCTAAATGTATTTTAAAGTACGTCATGGGGCCAGGTGTAGTGGATCACAGCTGTAATCCCAGTGCTTTGAGAGGCCAAGATGAGAGGATCATTTGAGGCCAAAAGTTTGAGACAGAACCTGAGCAACAAAGTGAGACCTGTCTCTAAAAAAAAAAAAAAAACAATAAAAAAATAAAGTAGATCATGTGCCAGTATATTATAAGGATGTCTCACAGTCTGGATTAGTAGGTTCTATTTTGATCTGCTTATCTGTTTATTTTTTTGAGTCAGGATCTCACTCTGTCACTCAGACTGGAGTGTAGTGACACAGCCATGGCTCACTGCAGCCTCATACTCCTGAGCTTAAGCCTACCAAGTAGCTAAGACCACAGGCGCATACCATTACACCCAGCTAATTTTTTTATTTTTTGTAGAGACGAGGTCTCACTGTGGTGCCAAGGCTGGTCTTGAACTCCCAGGCTCAAGCAGAGCTCCTGTCTTGGCCCCTCAAATTACTGGAGTTACAGGCATGAGCCACCATACCCGGCCTATTTTATTTGTAAAAGTGTTTTAACCTTGAATTTTAAAAACCACTAAGCAAATAATACTTATAGAAAATTAGAATAAAGAAAAGTCTTAGGGCAGGAAGACAAACAGATCAATGGAAGAGAATAAAGACTGAACACACAGTTTTTTAAAAAATTGGTCCAAGAATAAGGATAGTATTTCAAATCAATAGGGAAGAACAGCTTATTCAGTAGCGTTGAAACAATTGGCTGTCATTTGGAAAACATTTGGACCTCTGCTTCATATCAGTTAAAAACTAAATTTCTGGCTGGGCCCAGTGGCTCAAGCCTGTAAACCCAGCACTTTGGGAGGCTGAGGTAAGGGGATTGCCTGAGTCCACAAGTTCAAGAACAGCCTGGGCAACTTGACAAGACCTCATTGCTACAGTAACTCAAAAAATTAGCTGGGCATGGTAGCACGCACCTGTAGTTCCAGCTACTTGGAAAGCTGAGGTAGAAAGATCGCCTGAGCCCATAAGGTCGACTCTGGGGTAGCTGTGAGCATGCCACTGCACTCCAACCTGGGTGACGCAGTGGGACTCCAACTCAAAGAAAAAACTAAATTCTATATAAAAGATCATGTTTATAACCTTGGAACAGAATAAAGACTTCTTTTTTTGTTTGTTTTTTTTTTTAGTTGGAAGGGGTCTCACTCTTGCCCAGGCTGGAATGCAGTGGCGCCATCATGGATCACTAAAGCCTTGACCTCCTGGGCTCAGATGATCCTTCTGATTCAGTCTCCTGAGTAGCTAGGACTACAGGTGTGCACCACCATGCCTGACTAATTTTTTTTTTTTTTTTTTGTAGATACAGAGTTTTACTACATTGCCTAAGCTGATCTCAAATTCCTGGGCTTAAGTAGTCCTCCCACTTTGTACCCAGCCATGATAAAGTCCTCTTAAGACCCCAAATACCAGCCCAGGCAACTTGGCAATACCTCGTCTCTACAATAAAAAATAAAAATAAAAATTGCCTGGTGTGGTAGCGCACGCCTGTAGTTCCAGCTACTTGGAAGGCTGAGGCGGAAGGATCGCCGGGCCTCAGCAGGTTGATGCTGGGGTGACTGTGAGCATGCCACTGCACTCCAGCGTGGATGACAGAGTGAGACTCCAACTCAAAAAAAAAAAAAAAGACTCAAAATAGAAATGCCATAATGGAAGCAGTTGGATACATTTGGTTATACCAACATTTAAAACTCTGTATAGCAAGAAACAAGAAATTAAGTAGTGATTAGAAAGTCTCTATGAGGTAAATGATGGCAGAGAGTCTCCAGAATACATAAAGACCTGTTGAGAACCAGTAAGAAAAGGGTAAAGAGACCAGGCACTTTAGGAGATTGAGGCAGGAGCTTGAGCCCAAGAGTTTGAGACTAGCCTGGGCAACATAGTGAGACCTCACCTATACAAAAAGTTAGCTGGGTGTGATGACACACACTTGTAATCCCAGCTATTTGAGAGGCTGAGGCGGAAAGATCAAAGGGTCAAGGCTGCTTGTGCCACTGCATTCCAGCCTGTGTAACAGTGTGAGATCCCAACTCAAAAAATATAAAATAAAATGGGGTAAAGTACAGTCATATCAGAGGAGTGGAAATACAAATGGCCAGTAGACGTATATAATATATATTTTTTTCCTTTTGAGTCAGAGTCTTACTCAGTTGCACAGACTGGAGTGCAGTGGCACACTCACGGCCACTGCAGCCTTGCTTGACCTGCTGGACTCAGGCGATCCTCCCACCTGGAACTATAGGCATGCACCACTACGCTTGGCTAATTTTTCCTGATTTATTGTAGAGACTGGGTTTTGTCATTTTCCCCAGCCTGGTTTCAAACCCTCAGGCGATCCTCTCTCTTCTGCCTCCCATAGTGCTGAAATTACAGGCATGAGCCATAGCACCTGGCCAAAAAGTTAAATATCTTGATAACTACAGTGTTATGGTGAAATAGATACACTCATACACTAGTACAGCCATTTCATAAGGCAGTTTTTCATCATTTTTAAAATGTAAAATGTGCTTGTCTCATGATGACCATTCTATTTTGTCCATTCACCCAGGCAGGGGGCACCATCACACATGCATACAAGGAAACAACACAAGGTTGTTCATTGCAACATCCTTTGTGGTTGTGAAAAATATGGAAACAGCCTTTACTTTTTTAACAGAAAAGTGGTAAAAATAGACTATGGTGTAACCACATCTTAGAAAATCAGAACTAGCCAAACGGGGTGGCTCACACCTATAATCCCAGCACTTTGGGAGGCTGAGGTGGGAGGATTTCTTGAGCCAAGGAGTTCAAGACCAGCCTGGATAATATAGTGAGACCTTGTCTCTAATTTTGAAAATAAAAGAAAGCCAGAAGTAAATCTCTATGTGAACTTAGAAGTAAATCTGTGGAATATCTCCAAGATAGATGCAAAAAAGCAAACTACCAAACAGCTCAATTTGGTACTTTTTTTTTGCGTTGGAGTCTCACTCTGTCGCCCAGACTGGAGTGCAGTGGCCACTCCCGGCCACCGCAGCCTCGACCTGCTGGGCTTCAGCGATTCTTCCGCCTCAGCCTTCCGAGTAGCCGGAATTACAGGAATGTGCTACCACGCCCGGCTGATTTTTTGATTTATTGTAGAGATGAGGTCTTGCTGCCCAGATGGGTCTCAAACCCGCGGGCTCAGGCAATCCACTCACCTCAGCCTCCCAAAGGCGCAGGATTACAGGCTGAGCCACCGAGCCCAGCTTAATTTGGTACATTTTTTTAAAAGTTTTAATTATTAAAATTTTCATATATAATTAAAGAGTATAATGAACACCCATGTTATCCATTCACTGGTATCAGTAATCAACTCTTAGCCATTTTGTTCTGTTACCCCTGCCTATATTCCTCTCTCATTGGATTATTTCAAAACAAATCCTAAAATACATTTTACCTGCACGTTAGACACCACATTTTTGTTGTTTATGTATGCAAATGTAAATCTATAGAAAATCATCTGGACCAGGCGCGATTTGTAATCCCAATACTTTGGGAGGCCAAGGCAAGAGGATTGTCAGAGTCCAGAGCCCAGAGGTTCGAGACCAGCCTGGCAACTTGGCAAGACCTCATCTCAAAAATAAATCAAAAAATTAGTCAGGTGTGGTGGCGTATGCCTGTGGTTCCAGCTACTTGGAAAGCTGAGGCGGAAGGATCACCAGAGCCCAGCAGGTTGAGGCTGCGGTAAGAGATGATCATGCCACTGCATTCCAGTTTGGGTGATAGACTGAGACTCCCAGCACACAAAAAAAGAAAAAGTGATCTAGAAGAATTAATGCTAACACGGTTTATTCTGGAGAGAGGACTGGAGTTTAAGGTAGATGGAAAGAGTGACTTTAGCTTATCTGTATCATTTGAATTTTATATAATGAAATTACAATAATGCCTCACTAGTGTAATTTAAAATAGATTAAAATTGTGGATAAACAAATAATTGTATATTCATGCAGTAGAATACTACCTAGCAGTATAAAAAGGTACAAATTACTGAAACATGCAGTAACATGAGTGAAACTCAAGCACATTGAGAGAAAGAAGCAGATGTGAAGACACATTGCATGACTATTTCTTTGAAGATCAAAGACAGACAAAACTAATCTATGATAAGTGATTTTGTATTTGTGGGAGTGGGGATACCATTGGTTATAATGGGCATGGAGGAACTTTCTGGGTTATAATCAAGGCAGTGGCTACATGAATATATATGTTTGTTAAAACTCATAAAACCACGGCTGGGTACAGTGGCTCAAGCCTATAATCTCAGCACTTTGGGAGACCAAGGCAAGAGGATTGCCTGATCCTAGGTTCAAGACCAGCCTGGGCAACCTTGGCGAGACCCTGTCTCTAGAATAAATCAAAAAATTAGCTGGGCGTGCTGACGTGTGCCTGTAGTTCCAGCTACTTGGAAGGTTGAGGCAGAAGGATCACCTGCGCCAGTGGATTGAGGATGCAGTGGCCGCGAGCATGCCACTGCACTCCAGCCTGGGCAACAGTGAGACTCCGATTCAAAAAAGCAAAACAAAACATAAAACTGGGCAACCCTCTTGGGTCCCCTCCTACTGTGGGAGCTTTTCTGTCCTCTCAATAAGTCCTGCTTTCTAAAATAAATAATAAATAAATAAAGCTGTATGAGATTTTAACATTTTGTGTATAAATTATACCCAGACAAATATTAACAGTGGAATAATTCATATAAAAGATCTGCCAAGATATCAAGGAATTACCAAAATTTAAGAAAATGAGAATTGAGAGGTAACCAGAATCCTGCCAACACTTATGGCCTAAGGATAAAAATAAAATACATTAACTAAAATTGCCTGAATCTCATCAACCAAAGGTAACCACCATGTTTTTGTATTTCTCATTTACCTTTCTTAAAAGGAAGATGTTAAGAACTTTTCTCACTTTGTACTTTGACTCATCATTAGAACTTAGGAATGGCCGATTATTGAGTATGAACCATGTACAAGTCCTGGGCTCATCCTTTTACTTGCATGATGTCAATTGAGGTCTTCCGTTTTGCTTATTTGCACACCGTCCCATCTCATGGTACATCATAATTTAATTACCTTTTGGACATATGGTGGTTCCCCCATTTTGCATGCTGTGTACATTGTGTTCTCCACTAGATCTTACACTTCATGGAGAAAAACTCAGTGCTGGTTTTTTCCTGGATGCCTAGCACATCACACAGAGCCTGTCACACAACAGGTGTTCAATAAATGTTGAATGAATGCATTGATAGCCCTTATGTGTACATCTTTACACTGGCATCTAGCTTCCTTCAGATAAATTTGTACAAGTAGAATGTTTGGATAATGTGGTATGCACTTTTTAAGTTTTTTTAGGTCCTGTCCAACAGCTGTCCCACCTTGTACTGAACACCAGCAGTACATGAGGGTCTTGTTGGAAAAGGAGTACATAGTTTTATTTATGTGTTGTAAACATCATTGGGTAAGAGGCATAAATCTATACAGGTGAGATTTTATTCACTAAATGAATTGGCTGATTAAAGAAAGCTCCACACAAAGGAAACTTTGATGGCATAAGTATTTTTTTTTTGAGTTGGAGTCTCACTCTGTTGCCCAGACTGGAGTGCAGTGGCACACTCCCAGCCACCACAGCCTCAACCTGCTGGGCTCTGGCAATCCTTCTGCCTCAGCCTTCCAAGTAGCCGGAACTACAGGCTCGTGCTACCATGCTCGGCTAATTGAACTCAGGCAATCCACTCACCTCGACCTCCCAAAGCGCGGGATTACAGGCTGAGCCACCAAGCCCAGCCAGCATAAGTATTTTTTAATTTTGACTTGAGTATAGAGAGATATTCTGATTCTTTGAAAATACCTTTTAAGATGTATTAAAAAGTGGTATTTTTAATAAAACTGTATTGAAAAAAATTTTTTTTTCAATTTTCACAGACAGGAAAACTGATTTTGAAACCTAGGCCTCATGTTCAATGACAGTCTGCACTCATTCTGTGGGCCCTAAAACAGCCTCTTTTCAAATAAGTGATACAGCAAAAGCCATAAAGGGTTCCTTCGGCGACTGGCTGTGTGAAGGTCACAGCAACGATTGACGAGAAGTGTGCAATATTACCCAGACGGTCTGGAGGACGACTCACGTTATCAGTGCTTTGGTACCTCTGATCACCTGTGTTTCAGTGTTAGTGTCACTTTAGTACTTCAGATCCTGCAAAGGTCTTTGCAGATGAAGTATGTTTGTATGTATGTTACTAAGTTAAACTTAGAAACAAAACCTCATTCAGTTTTTATAATGTATTTTTGCAAACTACTGTAAATAACAAATCAATGCCAATGTTAAACAAAGAGAAACGTCATGTGGATGTGGTTCTGCGCCAGTGTTTCAGGAACATCTGCCTGCCACCCCCAGTTCTTAGGATGGCTGTTACGTGTGCCTTTCATTCCTACACCTCTCTCTCATCATACTGCAGGAAAAACATCGAACTCTGCTTAGGAAGACTCATCTTCATTACATTGTAAGAAATGAGAGATGTTTTCAGAAACACTTTTTGTTAAACCACATATGGAACTCATCAACTATTGTGGTTCTATTTTTCAGTTCATTATTTTCATTTAATGTTAAATATTTTTTAAAATAATTTTTGAAATACCCCAAAGGCTTGTGAATGTACAAGTTTACTTATAAATTATGTATTATCTGGGAATTTGATAGTCATTGTGTTAGATAACTGTATTTTATGCTGTGGAAGGCATGCTGGTACACCAGTATTCACATGGGTGTAATTGATCATCCTACGCCACCCCCAAGACAACATGGGAGCGGTGCCACAAACTCGAGTCTGCGATTCTCACTGTTTAGAGTGTTAATGACATACTGTGTATGCATAATAGCCACGTGTACTATAATAGCCCTTAAAATTAAACGATTGGGATTGCTGTAAATATTTTAAAGTACTGAAGGTGCCTTTTACCTGTTTATTAGAAGATTTTGAAAAGGTTTAAATTATTTCATGAACAATCTTAAATTTCATTTAACATAAAGTTGAAAATTCAGTAACAGGATAACTTTTTAATAAGGCTGTCATTTAACTTAAATGTGTTCATCTTAGCTTTCACATGTATAAAATTTTATTCTTTGAACTGCAGCAATAAAACCCTCTGCTCCTAAGAAGTCTTAAGAGGGTCTTCTATACATTCTGCTTTTATTTTCTGTAAATTTTGTAGGTAAATATGTGCATAAAAATAAATACTTTATATATAAATAGTGATTGGGCTTTTCTTTGGTTTATTGTAAGTCTGTGACTCTGAAAAAATTTTTAAATGTTCCAGCTACTTGGAAGGCTGAGGCGGAAGGATCGCCAGAGCCCAGCAGGGTGAGGCTGCGGTGGCCAGAAGCGTGCCACTACACTCCAGTCTGGGCGACAAAGTGAGATTCCAACTCAAAAAAAACAAAACAAAATGTTAGATACAGGCTAGTACCAGATGAGATACTTTAACTCTGTGTCCAATAGGGCAGACTTTAAGTAGCAATTGTAGGCACCCAGTTTATTAGGCTGTGTTTACTTTTAATATGTCTTGTCACAGTCTAACAACACTTGGCTCTTAATCAAGACGTGAGTTTCTCATGTTGCTCTTTATGAACTTAAAGTGCTAGTTGCCTCCGAGAGCATAAAGCTGAAGGACTTTTTTTTGAGTTATGAGCTCCTTTGAGTTTTTTTGTTTTTGTTTTTGTTTTGAGTTGGGTTCTCACTCTGTCATCCAGGCTGGATAGCAGTGGCACAATCACAGCTTACAGCCTCAATCTCCTGTGTTCAGGCAATCCTTCCACCTCAGATTCCCGAGTAGCTGGGACTATAGGCACACACCAAAACACCTGTCTAATTTTTGTAGAGGCAACGTCTCACTAAGTTGTGCAGGCTACTCTTGAACGCCTGGAGTCAAGTGATTCTCCCACCTTGGCCTCCCAAGAGTGCTGGGATTACAGGCATGAGCTGCTGCATCCAGCCCCTGGCTGATGTTTTGTGTTTTACAGAGATGAAATCTCACTGTGTTGCCCACACTGGTCTCAAAACTGGCCTCAAGTGATCCTCCTGCTTCAGTATCCCAAAGTGCTGGGATTACAGGCATGAGCCACCGCACCTAGCCTCCTTTTGAGTATTTAATAAAAGCCTTGATTCTTCTCCCTAGGAAAATCCACCTGTGTATATACATACACTTTGCATGTACTTGAAGGCCATTTCCCAGTGCCATGCTGCTCAGGTTTCATTGACTCCAAAAAAATTCTGTTACAGGCCAGAGACTTTTTTCATACATTTCCTTCTAGCAGAACAACTCATTTTCCAAAGGGGCATTGCTGTGGCTGAAATAGCCCAAGGGTCACAATAATGTACCAGGCACCTTCACCTTCCCCCACATTGCTAGGAAGTGGGATACAATCCTCTAATTCTGCTGGTGGGAAAAACAGTCTCAAATTTGCAAAGTTTTCTTACCCTCGGTCCCCACAACTGACTAAACACAGAGCTAGCACCAGAACCCAAATCTCTGACTCTGATTGAAAGAATGATTGTGAGCCGGGCTCGGTGGCTCAGCCTGTAATCCTGCGCCTTTGGGAGGCTGAGGTGAGTGGATTGCCTGAGCCCGCGGGTTCAGGACCCACCTGGGCAGGCGAGACCTCATCTCTACAATAAAATCAAAAAATTAGCCGGGCGTGGTAGCGCGCACCTGTAATTCCGGCTACTCGGAACACTGAGGCGGAAGGATTGCCAGAGCCCAGCAGGTCGAGGCTGCAGTGGCCGGGAGCGGCCACTGCACTCCAGTCTGGGCGACAGAGTGAGACTACAACTGCAAAAAAAAAAAAAATGAATGATTGTGAAATTTATTGATTCAAGAGCCTTCATAAGGTTATGGTTAAGATTGCAGACAATTAGGCCAGACTGTCAGGTTGAATCTCAGATCTGCTACTTGGGGTTTTGTGACTTGGGCAAGTTATATAACCTTTGTCTCCTCATTTATAAAATGAGCGTAATGCCAATCTCCCAGGCTTATGTCGAGTATTGAAGTGTTACCTCATGGAGAGTGTGTAAGCAGGCATGGCTGCCGTCAGTGTTCAGTGCGTTTAGTTGCTAAACCAAATCCTAAAGGTGAAAAATCCACAAAGACCTCATTGTTGCAACTTTGCCCAAAGCCAATATCTTAGTTGAGATAATGTGGATATTTTGGCCTGTCTTTTGAACCAAGCAGAATTCTGAATACTGGACTAAATGCATAGAAAAAGGACACTTGACCTCTGCTGATGAGAAAAATGGTGTGTAGACGTCTAGGTGCTTTCCTCTCCTGGGAGCAAGCACACTGGGAACATGAAAAAGGGACTACCTGATGGCATTGCCTTTAGAGGGGCTCTTCTCTCTTTAAGAACGGGCCTCTTGGTTGGCATTTTGTGGAGACTGAGCTAAGACAGACTGCCTGACAAATGGCTTGCCTTCATCAGCATCCAAAGTGGTTCTCATACCCCATCCTGTTGAAACCATAGAAATCTGAGTCTCCTTCAGACTCTAAGCTTTGTGCATATGGTTTTATACAGGGTGAGTATAATTCCTTTTTTCCCTCCTTTTTATCCTGCTATAAATAGGAAGTACATCTTGCCTGCGTCATCATGGAACACAAACATTTTAAAATCTGATGTTTATGTACAACTCTGCTATGCAAGTTTGATAGAGGCAAAAAAGAAAAGGATATTTGGTACCTAAACGTTTTAGAGTGAATTAATTCATCACCTTCATAGACTACCCTTTAAGTGACAAGTGTTTTGCTGGGTATTAAAAATGTGTGAGGAAAATGTCTGCCCTCTCAGAACGTGCCCAGGCTGATCTCAAACTCCTGGCCTCAAGCTTTTCTGCCTCAGTCTCAGTAGTAACTATCAGTAGGACGCTTACTCTCCAATGCTTACTCTCCAAATAGGGAATGGGACCCCCCCAAAAAATCTTTAACATAATCACAATACTCTATCATATCTGAAGAACTAATAATTTTGTTGTTGTTGTTGGAGTCTTACTCTGTCACACAGGCTGGAGTGCAGTGGCACGCTCACCTCAACCTGCTGGGCTTAGGCAATTTTTCCACCTCAGCCTTCCAAGTAGCTACAGGCACGTGCCACTATACCCAGCTATTTTTTATTTATTTATTGTAGAGACAAGGTCTCGCCATGTGGCCCAGCCTGGTCTCCAACCCATGGGTTCAGCCGCTTTCTCTAATTTGTCAGTTTCATATGTTATTTCTTGATTTCCTGGCCTGGTAAGGACTTAGTGCTCAAAAACCCTCTCCTCTATTTCTCCTTCATCCAACAAAATTGTACCAGAGTTCTTGATTAAATCCACAAGTCAGTCTAAATTACTAGGACAATGCAAATATTGCTCACTGCTGAACTAAGAGGTCCACTAATCACAGTTCCTTCCTTGTAACAGCCCTTCATTTCTCTTGAAGTTAATAGTTTTGCTTTTTCACTTTGGGAGGTGGAGGCGAGAAGATTGCCTGAGTTCAGGGGTTCGAGACCAGCCTGAGTAACATGGAGAGACCTTGTCTCTACAATATATCAAAAAATTAGCCAGGCGTGGTTGCACATGCCTGTGGTTCCAGTTACTTGGAAGACTGAAGTGGAAGGATCATCTGAGCCCAGCAGGTCAAGGCTGCAGTGCCCGTGAGCATGCTGCTGCACTCCAGCCTGGATAACAGAGTGAGATTTCAACTCAAAAAAAAATTTACTTTTTTCCTTACCCTAGTTTACCATCCATCCATCATTCCTGTCCTTTAATGTCCAACATCTTTGTGTATCAACCATGTTTTCTATATGTTCTAACCCACCCAATCCTGTTTCCCCTGATGATCTCCCTCCTGTTCTCCTCTCTTATCTGGATGGGTGCTCTCTAAGAATGCTGCCCAGCACCACCCTGGACTTGCCCTGTGGCTTGTGTGTGGGATGCATCATTTCCTATGTGGCTGTTAGGATGTGAGCAACAGTCGTGATGTTCACCATGATAACGCTGCTGGCATAACATGAAAGCTCCTGGCAGAAGTCACTGTGCATTTCTTATTGGAAGTGTATTCTGTATGCATAAGATGAGTTCAGAAAGGTAATCAGGTGGAATTTAGCAAACAGGGATTTCAGAAACCTAGCACCTAGGTCATGTCTTCCAAACTGATACTACTCACGTGTACTTTATCTGGATCTGCTCTCAAATCAACTATTAAAAAAACACATCAATGAGACAGTTGCAGAAGTTTAGGCTGAGTATTCGATGGTATAAAATTATTAGTTTTAGGCCAGGTGTGGTGGCTTACACCTATAGTCTCAGCACTTTGGAAGGCAAAGACAAGAAGATTGCCTGAGTCCAGGGGTTCAAGACCAGCCTGGGCAACTTGGTGAGTAAGACCTTGTCTCCACAATAAATAAATTTTAAAAATTAGTCAGGTGTGGTGGTGCATGCCCGTGGTTCCAGCTACTTGGAAGGCTGAGGCAGAAGGATCACCTGAACTCAGCTGGTCGAGGCTGCGGTGTGCCACTGCACTCCAGCCTGGGCAAAAAAGTGAGACTCTGACTCAAAAAAAAAAAGAAAGAAGATATTGAATGTTTTCAACACAAAGTAATGGCATGTGCTTGAGATGATAGATAGGCTAATTACCCTGATCTGCTCACTATACATTATATGTATGGAAACACCACTGTGTACCCCATGAATATGTACATTTATTATTTTTCAATTAAAAGTAAAATTTAGCCAGGCTCGGTGGCTCAGCCTGTAATCCTGCGCCTTTGGGAGGCTGAGGTGAGTGGATTGCCTGAGCCCATGGGTTCGAGACCCGCCTGGGCAGCAAGACCTCATCTCTACAATAAAAAAAAAAAAAAAATCAGCTGGGTGTGGTAGCGCATACCTGTAATTCTGGCTACTTGGAAGGCTGAGGTGGAAGGATTGCCGGAGCCCAGCAGGCCAAGGCTGCAGTGGCCGGGAGTGGTTACTGCACTCCAGTCTGGGCGAAAGAGTGAGACTCCAACTCAAAAAAAAAATTTTTTTAATAAAATTAAATTAAATTTAAGCCATTGCCTTGGTAGACTCTAGTGTGGCCATGTGTTCTTTGAGCCATGGCTGTTGCCATGCTTCCTGGCTTTGGCCCCCTCTCCCACCTTAGGGAGGTGAATATTCTCTTTCTTTCTCTCTAATTTACTTTCAAATAAGCTATATTTTCTAATCTAAAAATAAAATAAAATTTAAAACAA